GGTTGAATTCAATAGAATAATTTTAAAAAAAATAATAATTAAGGCTTAGATAATCCGCTAAAGACCCACTAGAGCCGATTCAAATGGGTAGATCTTGAGTTTGTTGTTCATCATCATTACGCTCAATATTTTTTTCATTAATTAGCGGGTTAATCTAACTCATTATCTCACAAGCACGTTGTAAATTAAAAAGTAAAAAGTCTACATATGCACTTTAATATGCCACCATAGTATATACAAGAAAAAAGGTTGGGACTAGGTGTCTGCAATTAATATGTTATCTGTTAGTCACCTCCTTTTTTGCAATTTTCATGTATATAAACAGTAGCTGCAATTATAGTACCATCCATATTAAAGACTAACTACTCTCTGCCATTTTTGTTTTCCATTTCACTATTTTTTGTATTTTTGTACAACTAAGGTAACAAATTTATGAGCATAAAAAGGGTAACAAATTCATTTTTTTTCCATTGATTACTTGGCATAAAGTCTACTTCAATATCTGATAATAAAAAAGAAGGACAAATTACACTTTGATCCTATCAAGTATGATTCTATGACTCTTTTTTCACATTGTCTCCTAAACTGTTATATTTTTCAAATTGTACCCTCAATTATGTGATTGGTTTCACATTGCTCCAATTTTTAACGTCTGTTACATATTTAACAAAAAGTTGTTTCATTTTGCTTCCCAAATTATATATATAAAAAAAAGAATCATTTTACTATGATATGTTAACAATTTTCATCCAAAAAGCTAGCAGATGTTTGCTATTGGGGACAATACGAAATAATTCAAGTAGTTGAAGGGGGCAATGTTGAAAATTAATAGTTTAAAGAGTAAAGTGAAATCAAGTCCATATTGAGAGGGGTCAATGTGTAATTTATCCAAAAAAGAATAATTTGTATATCAATTGATGAGGATGATACCTAATGTTCTCTATATTATTTGAAGCAAAGAACAAAGCGCAACAATGGCTATATCCATTTTCTTTCTCTTCTTGGTACATTTCTTTTTGTAGAAGAAGAGTTTTTTGAATGTTGGAGACCTTACAACTATAATAATTGATGGCTTCTTCTACTCAATTGTTACCAGGTAATTTAAGTTTTTGATATGAAAAAGGTTTACGATAAGAGCATTTCTTGCTTGTTTGAGTTGTTTTTGATTATGGTGATCTTTCTTTTTATTTAAATGTGAAATAGAAATAGAAATAGAAATAGAAATAGAAATATATATATATTCTGAGCATTGTGTGATTTGGTTTGTTGCTTGGTTTATCTTGTAATATTTGGGAAATAGACATGAAAGCATTAATTTTATTGTTTTTGGAAATTTAATTTTTTAAAATTCCCATGAAAATTGTGAAAATATTTTTGTGAATTTAGGCTACCTTCACAAAAAGCAAGAAATAGAATTTTCCCTTTTTAGAAGAAATTTAAAAGGCCATGGTGTCAAAAGTCCCTTCAAATTCAGTTTCTATGATAATAGAAAAATATGAAACATAGTACCAAAGAAGGTTAAAAACAACTAGATCGAGTACGATTTAAATTGCTAATTTTGATGCAAATGGTTTTTTCTCCTTTGTAAATCTATATTTTGTGATAAAGAAATTGCATTTTGTCATTCTTTTATTTTCTCCAAATTATTTTCTCCCTTCTATCGATGAAAATTATACAGTCGAATTAGCCATTGTTTTTATAAGGTAATTAGAGGATATAATTGTATCTAGAAACATAAGAGCTTACAATAATATCTTGGACCATGGAAGACCATGATTACTCGTATCATATTAGATGTGTAAATCATCGTGTAAGTCACGCTGACTCTTAATGTTGACTTAACTCATACACGATTCAATTATTGTCCAAATCCATTAAAACAAAACTCATTCATAATTTCATCTTTTGTTGACTTTTTCGATAGAAATGGACTTAATCTCGGGGGTCTTGTCATATTAACATAATCATTAGGGAAGTTAAAAAAAAAGAAGATTATAAACTTTTACATTTCTTTCCCACACTTTTGCACCTCTTTTTTTATCCCAATGTTCTTAGGTGGTCGGATTAGTTTACACACATTTCTATTAATTCCTTCTCTGATTCGATCATAAACAAATCATTCACATTAAAATTAAAATAATATATCTATCATGATTTAATTTTATAAAATTATTAAAATTTAAATTTAAGACATTTAACTTTATATTTCGTTTATGTTATTATTACTGTTGTTACACTTTTCACTTTTTCATCTTTGAACCATCAATGTCAAGAACTCCTGTGCAATATGTCCAAAGGTGCAGCCGTGCAGGTGAGTGACAACTTACCTCTCTGAGTATGACTGTACATACAACGGTATATTTTCAAACAGAACGGAACTTTTCAGTCCTTTTGGTCCCCCTTCCCCTGCCCAAATCGTCAAACAATTATAAAAAAAATAAAAGATTAATTTTTAAAAATTCGCATATAAAAGATTAATTTTTATTTTGATATGAAAACTAAAAAGAATAGCAACCGTTGGCTTTATGTTTTCGGGCTAATTATATTTTGCCCCCTCAAAAGTATGAGATTTGTAATGGACGATGTGATTTTCATTCATTTTGCCCTAATACGTTGGGCATGTTTAGAGCTTTGAAAAGAGTCGTAAAAAAGTCAGAGTTAAAAAAATTTTATCAAAATCGTTAGGGTAATCTTTTGAAAAACTAAAAAAGTCGAAATAATTCGTTTGGAATAACTTTTTTTGTACCAAATTAAAAAATAATTACATATATCATGTATGTATAGATTATGTAAAAGTTTTCAAAATATGAATTTCAAAATTCTTTTACATCACTTATAAAATTGTATGAATATAATAAATTAAAAAATTATGTGAGACTCGCGACAAAACTCTAAAAAAAAAAAAAAAAGTTAGTAAGATCAGTTTTTTGAATCAGCCTAAATAAGTCTTTTTAGGTTTAAAAAAACCTAGGTTCAACCAGACTTGACTTATTTTACTTAAAAACTCTGTAAAATTACGAATTTAAGTTAGTTTCATACAAATCCATTTGATATTTTTTATTAAAAAAAGTTAATGAACGTTTGCATTTTGTGCAATGGGAAACTAATTCATGTAATTAGGGGAATAATGTGACACGATCTCATAGTTTTAGGGAAAAAAAGTGTAACAATTGTATGTTTTAACTAAGTGGTGTTGAGGGACGATGGTGACAACGACGATTGGTCATGGTGGTGTTAGAGTTGGCAATAGTGTTTTCATGTTGTTGAAGTTTGGACGTGTTATTTGGGTAGGTTTACGAAGCATAGTATGAATTTTTTAGTATTTTTTGTGTTAGACTTGGGCAATTTTTTTTTAACTCAAATCAAATTTGAGTAATATTCAAGGTGATGGATTCAACCAAAATTAATAAAATCCGGTTCAACTCAAAATTCCAAAAAATAAAAAATACACACATACATGTATAAATATCTGGGCATTTGCTGTGTACTATTTTATCAAATTGTTATTAATGGTTTAAGTCTTATTACAGATGTGATTTTTTTTTCTACTTTTTAATTAATGAGTATTACCGAATTTAGGTTCAATTTCAATGTTAAACACAAAATTGAACTTTATTTTTGGTTTAATTTGATTCTGGTTGATGAAAACTCGATTTCAACCCAAATTGTATAATCTAATCTCAATTCGAGTCTAAAATTTTAATTATGGACTGGATTTACTTTGGTTAAGATCAGGTTAGATTGCACTCGGATTGAAAGTTTCATATCTTGTGTTTAACTTTAGGTTGATTGTTCAACCTGCCCGAGTTACACCTCTTCTTCGTTACAAGAAGTGCGTTCGCATTTCTAATGATATTTTGACAATTATTTTGTTGTGGTTTGAAACACATAATTAATTTTCAAAACAAGTTTCACAAAAAAAAAAAAACAATTATGAACCTGTTTTTTTTTTCTAATTTTAGTTTGTACTTTTCGAAAACATATAAGCCATTTTTCAAGCTCGCACAAACGGACACATTGCAAAGGAGTCGCTGGATGCTGACACTCTCTCCATCTCTCTCTCTCTCTCTCAACACCCCCGAATCTCTGTGATAAATAACATACCACCAGCCCCATAATCTCTCTCTACATGTATACATATAAAATACATATATTTATATGTATGCCAGTGGATTCTTTCATTGTTTTCTCGAAAGAAACCCTCGTGAAGTTCATGTGAAAGTTCACAGAGAAGGATAGAGAAAGATCTGAGACTTAATGATGTAAACGGGTCACTTGCCTAGCTGCCTCTTTGTCAGCTGAATGGAGAGTTCTTTTGAACTGTTTTCTTCTTGTCGGTTAGATTTCATATTCTTTCGATCTCCACCTCTGTTTTCTCTGGCTTTTTGTGAAAAATCATAGTCTTTATAGGGCTCAAAGCGAAAGAACACTTTGATTGGCTCAGAGCTTCAGAGTGATGTAAATTTATTGGGTATTTTTGGTCTGTGTTTCGCAACTGTTAGAGTTCAACTAGGTCGTTTCTTGTGGGAGTGGCATTTGAGTTTGAAGCTCTTAAAGATTGTACTTTTATGCCTAATTAGAATGGGTTTTGTATTTTCTTCTATATATTTTGTTATGTTGGAAGAGGGTCTATGCATATGAGTGGAGCATGATGTGGTCTATTCTCTGAGGGACAAATGATTTGTTTTGGAGGGTTTAGTTTGGGGTGGTTTTGTGGGAGCCATCATTGGACTTGAAGTTGTTGATTTTGTATGTGAAAAATTGTATGCTTCGTAGATTGCTTTGTAATGAGAGGATCTCTAGAATCCAGGCATTTATTTTGGCTCTGGATGCACCATTAGTGGGATTTGACTGTTGGTTTTGATGGATTTTATTGCTTTTGTGATGCTGTGATTGAGATGATTTGGGTCAGTAATAAATCAAGTGAGAATGCAGTATCTCACGATATTTTGGCTTAATTTACGAAAATTTCTGGTGTTGGACCTATTTATGTTCTGATCATGACCAGGGCTGTTCGTGACCGGATACTGAAGGATGTGAATGGTAATATTAGCGACCATCTACGCAATCATATACATTTGACCAATTGTATTCATTTGAAGAACCATATGCATAAGCATAGCCCCATATTGGCCGATAGGGCCCTTATAAGGGATCTTGTTGTCCTACAGAGGTCGCGATCTCTCAGAGATCCTTCTACGAGTCCGCCCTCATGGCTCTCCCCTTCGGTTATTGATTTGTTATCTAAAAGAGGTGAAACGGATGGCATGGTGGGAGGAAGACGCTCTGTTGGCATTGAGCGCCAAAGGGATGGTAGAGGGTTTTTTGAAAGTTCACCGCCATTAGCTAGTGTACCAACATCAAAGGTGATTCCTGGTGAGGTAAGCATGCGTAATGGTGGGGGAGCCACTGTGAGTGATCGCAGTAGTAAGAGTGGGGTTCAGGAAAAAAGAAGAGTTAACAGGGAAGAATCGAGTGGAAGAAATGTGGGAAATGACCTCATGGATGGCGGCAATGAGCTTCAACAAGATGTTAATGATTTGGTCCATGACAATGTTTTGGGACACTCTGAATCATGGGATAAGAAAATCAGACAAAAGGGGAAGCATAGGAAAGATGATAATCTTAAGACCCTTTCTGAGCAGTTGAATGAGGTCCCAGTGGATAGTGATGATGTAGTATCATCTAACATACATCATCATGGAAGACAGACCCAGTTTGGGAACACTGTTGATGAAGCAGAAGCAAGCATTCGAGGATACTCCAGGGGTCTGAATAGGGTAAGAAGGAATAAGTTTCGAGGTGCAAGAAAAACTCGGGCTGCCATACCTTCACGAGATGCTGGGCCTGAAAATGAAATGTCTGTGGCCTCTAATTCATTAGCTCAAGGTGCACCATGCCCAACGCATAACATAGAGGAAGGTGAAGAAGAGTTTGCCGAGCAGAATGTCACAAGGGCTCCCAGAAATGGGTGTGGTATTCCTTGGAATTGGTCGAGAGTTCATCATAGGGGAAAATCATTTCTTGACATTGCTGGAAAGAGCTTGTCTTGTGGATTGTCTGATCCAAAGTTAAAGCGAGGTAGTAGTAGTACAGTCCCTCTACTTGTTGATGCATCTGGATCTCTGGAAAGTACAGATAATGCTGCTTGGGTGCATGACTATTCTGGGGAGTTAGGAATTTATGCTGATAATCTATTAAAACATGAAATCGACTCTGACCTAGCTTCGGAAGCTAGATCTGGTGATCAACATAAGTACCAAGGGCATCACAATAATAGGCACCAAAATCTCACTCAAAAGTATGTGCCAAGGACCTTCAGAGATCTGATGGGGCAGAATTTGGTAGCACAAGCTCTTTCAAATGCTGTGGTAAAAAAGAAAGTTGGATTGCTCTACGTGTTTTATGGGCCTCATGGCACAGGTAAAACCTCTTGCGCACGCATTTTTGCCAGATCTCTTAATTGTCAGTCTCTGGAGCATCCCAAACCTTGTGGGTTCTGCAAATCTTGCGTTGCGCATGACCTGGGTAAGAGTCGAAACACTAGGGAAGTAGGCCCAGTCAGTAATTTGGACTTTGGAAGCATTATGGATCTACTTGACCATATGATAGTTTCACAGCTGCCATCACAGTACAGAGTCTTTATCTTTGATGATTGTGATACTTTGTCTCCTGACTGTTGGAGTGCTATATCTAAGGTCATTGATCGAGCACCCAGGCGTGTGGTTTTTGTCCTTATCTGTTCAAGTCTTGATGTCCTACCTCATATAATCATATCCAGGTGCCAGAAATTCTTTTTTCCAAAGTTGAAAGATGCAGATATTATCTATACTTTGCAGTGGATCGTGGCCAAGGAAGATCTAGAAATTGAAAAGGATGCACTAAAGCTTATTGCATCAAGATCAGATGGATCTTTGAGGGATGCTGAGATGACCCTTGAACAACTGAGTTTGCTTGGGCAGAGAATCTCTGTTCCTCTTGTTCAGGAACTGGTAAGTTCTATGGCCGTTTGGCTTAAGTAAAAAAGATTTTTGGAATTGTTTTTCCTACCCTGCATCATTTTATTGTTTTATTACCTGCAACCAATGTTGTTATCCACCAGCAACCTCTGTTGGATTTCATGTGCCTGCATTCATCAATTCAGCAACTACATATGTTTCGGGGAATAGGCATTGCCCTGTATTTAGAGCTGGAACTCACGTCTCTCGAATATCGCTTATACTGTTAACATTAATGTCCTGAAAAATTATTTTTTTCCCTGGCTTAGGCAGATGCTGCCAACACTGCCTGTTTTTTTGTGCGACTTGGTTAATTTGTTGAGTTTTTATTGCTAAACACTTTACCATCCTACGGCAGTTTTTGCTTGACACTTGCAGTTGGTTAAACACTTTACCAGAGGGGGTTGATAAGGTTTCACAATTCATTCAGGTTAATTCATGTGTCTGGTTACAGTACTTTCTTTTATTTCTTAGTTGTCAACATAGCCAAGGTGCCTTTCAGGCCTACAACTTTGTGTAAATTGTTTTTTCTTCTGTTAATTTCCCTGGTTTGTCAGACTACGTTGATGACCAGGGATACTGCTGTAATAATATCTGTTTCTTTTGATAAGGAACCTTTATGATGGCCCATTGAAGCCAGGCCCTTTTGATGCTTGTGCAATGCCATCCTTCACAGCCTCATCAAGGCTTCCTTTCAGCCAATGGCTCACTTTATTGCTCATCCAAAATTATGATCTAGTGCTCATATTTATTACTTCCATATGATGGGTGATAGATAGTCTGCACTTGGTCACCTGAAGTCCTTGTCTTAGGCCTAGGGCTTCTTGGCCTATGGAGAATGATAATTTTGATTCACAAAGATGTATATCTTTCGTCTGCAGGGATCAGGGCCTCTTATAAAAGAAATAGATAAAATCTGTATTGAAAATAGGAGTATCTGTAAAAGGCTATTAGTGGGCTCATCCTTTGTCTTGGCTGGCCAATGGCAATTTAGAGTTTGGAGGCAATCCAGTTTGTCATATTAAAAACATGGCTGATATGCCATATTTTTAATACTGATTCTTTTTATAGAATTTCGATGAACTGCATATAATTGAAAATGCCACAAAGGGAGGTACTCGTTCCTTGTATGTGTGAGGTTTTATTTTATGCTACTCTTTAATGTGCTTGGATTTAGTGCTCAACATGCCTTGAATTATGTATTATCTGCAGAACATCTCAAAACCTCTGATTGCAGTTTATTTGTGGGGTTGTTATGTATGAATTGCTGAGATGATTATTAATTGCAGGTTGGGCTCATTTCTGATGAGAAGTTAATAGATCTACTCGATTTAGCATTATCTGCAAACACAGTTAGAACTGTGAAGAATCTGAGAGAGATCATGGAGTCTGGCGTTGAGCCATTAGCTTTGATGTCACAGCTTGCCACTGTAATAACCGATATTCTTGCAGGTAGCTATGATTTCACGAAAAAAAGGCCTAGAAGGAAGTTCTTTCGACAACAAGCATGTAAGTCAAATATCATTTGGTCCCTCACGTAGTCTTATCTTAAGAGTAAACAATTGACTAACTAACTAACTAGTTTGATTTGAAAACTTCCAGTGATGAGTTGCACCTCATGTGATGATGCGTTTTAGCTTCAGTCATACAATTGAATCTGGATGGGAAAAATGATATTTAGATCTGAAACATTGAAATAATGCAACTTTTTGGTAATCACATCCCATTTTTGCAACATGTTCTCAAGAAGTTATTCTTTCTGACTGACAGAAAAACTTGTTGCTTTCAGTGTCAAAGGAAGATATGGAAAAACTGCGTCAAGCTCTAAAAATATTATCTGAAGCTGAAAAGCAGCTGAGAATGTCAAATGATAGATTAACATGGCTTACAGCTGCATTGCTGCAACTTGCTCCTGATCAGCAGTATATGTTGCCAAGTTCCTCTGCAGACACTAGTTTTAACCATAGTCCCTTGGGCTTAACTGGTGGAAGAGAGAGACCCAGGAGAAGTAATGTTGATCACGCTGAGATGCCTAATACTCACAGAAGGATTGAAAATCTTCAAGCTGGAAGTTCAAGTGATGTTTATTATAATGATAGAATAAGAGGTACTAGTGTAGATAGAAAAGGACATACTGTGGGTGAGGTGGCTCCTCAACAGGCACTCAATGTTTCTGGTGAAAGAAATAGAGCAAATAACAGGCAGTTACCAGTTAAATTCCGGAAGACAATTGAAGAAATTTGGTTGGAGGTGCTTGAAAATATTCAAATAAATAGCTTAAGAGACTTCCTGTATCAAGAAGGAAAGCTGATCTCAGTCAGTTTTGGCACAGGTATTTCTGATGTGCATTAATCCATTAACTGATGCCCTTGATTTATGTTGTGCTGTCAGACTCTTTGGATGGTTTTTCATTACTGTTTAAGTATTTATTTCAATTTTCTATGTGAATTCTTTTGTTAAGTGTAAGCCTGAAAGAAACTTGGCCACCAGAACTTATTTATTTATGGCAAGAAACAACTTTTTCTTAATAATCATAACGAAGTATTACAATCGTGAAGTTGGACAAGAAGTCCAACCCAAAACTGACAAACAAGCTTGTGGCCATAAATAAAACAAAAAAAATACATCACAACACTTGGACACCAAAATTGTATGCGGGCTTGGACACAAATTGGGAAAAAATAGACATCTATTTTCTGTTTCTTAGGGCTTAGGCCCTGAAATATGGTGTGTATTCCCTATTTCCCTGATTTTACTTTCGGTATCAAGCTGGCGTTGCTTGGTCGGATGGGCATTGAAACAGATCTCTTGCCGTTTTCTTCAAGTTGTTGTTCCTTTCCTTTTTTCATCACTTTGCCCTTTCAAAAGCATATTCATTGTTCTAAAGCATGAAATATAAGGCTACTATATTATCCATGGACAAGATAATGTAATTCTTGAATCTTGGTTTCCAGAAAAAGGATGGAAAGTCTACAGCGTTGCAATTCAAGAGAATAAAGTGATATTTACATAAGAGCTATTTTGTTGATATAATAACAAGGAGGCTTGAAATTGTCCATGTTAGCCATGTTTGTTTTCTCGAGGAAAATTTTAATAATACACACAATGGTGAGATTTGATGAAGTATTTCAACGGATTGGTGACATTTACTTCTGTGATCACCTTGATGGGGGTCAGTCTGTCCCTTTAATTTCATCTTGTGCTTATAATGTTACTAATACTTTTTGAGAAAGCTTTGGTAGTTCTAATGGTTCAAAAGTTTAGTATACAAATTGACAAAGGGTTTACTAGATCCTAATACGTGAAAAAGAGTGCTTAATATTGTCATTTGAACCATTCGAATTAGCTCTTTTTTGTAGGAGGCAAGTAAGATGGACTGTTCTTTTTTCTTTTGTGTGTGTGGAGGGGGGAGTGGGGGGGG